CCCCCCCCTACCCCCCCCCCTTCGCACATTACTGCTGTATATGTATCCGCTCATTTCGAAAAGTTTATTTATTCATAAAATAGGGCGCTCAAAGTATTGAAAAACTTTTGGAAATTGTAAAGGAAAAACTTCAACTTTCGTCGGATGTGTTGTCAAACACTCCGATAGCATTGGCAGGAACGGGTGGTCTTAGAAGTCTGAAATCTGAACAAGCCAACACACTACTAGAAGAAGCTGATAAGACGTTGAAGAAGTCTGGATTTTCCGTCAAAGATGATGCTGTCACAATTTTGAGTGGTGACGACGAAGGAATATTTTCATGGTTTACTACTAATATTCTATTAGGTGTGACACTTCATTGATTGTTAGTCATATTTCAAAATTCATTTTCCTCGTTTTATGATTGACATGTTTAACATTTTTATATACACATGATCGAATTCCTCGTAAACATACGATTAATAATTTCAGACCGCTTAGGTACTGAGAATACAGTGGCCGCTCTTGATTTGGGTGGGTCTAGTACACAAGTGACATTTCCATTGAAAGAAAAGAGCAATGATCACACGTTAGCCGATCATATTTTCACGGTGGAAACCTCATCACCCGAAGACAAAATGGATTTATTTTCTATCAGTTATTCGAATTTGGGTAGAAAATATTTTGGAAATGCTGTTTTCGGCCATGGTAATTCGGATGAAGCTACAGATTGGTATAGTGTTTGTATTCATCCCGATAGCAAACCATATAAAATCGAATTGGACACCACATCACATAATGTCTAGTAAACAAAAAACACTTTCCATATCGAATGGAATAAAGAATCTAATTGTTTTTGTTTTATATTCCAGTGGAATTCCCAATAATCTTTCAACTGTCGATATTGCTGCATGTATGAATCTAGTGGAAGAAAAGATGTCAACTTTACTTACACCAAAACCCACCCCGTTAAAAAATGTCACTGAAATCTTCGCATTCTCTGGATTTTTCAAAGTAATCAATGCAGCTGGATTGATTGGTACGTAGAAATTGCATCATTTAGAATATACAAAAATATTTAAGTTGCTATGTTTCTTCCAGATCCTGAAGAAGGCGGCCAAGCATCTTTAGATGTTATATTATCAACTGCAGTTAAAGAATGTAGTATTGCAAATGACGAGAATCCAATCTTATGCCTCAATTTAATTTACGTTTATGTTTTACTGCACGATGGATATGAACTGAAACCAGAAACAAGAGTCAATGTAAAGTCAATGCATTCAAAATACTTTCAATTTTGATTTTGATTTAGAGCGATATTTTCTCTTTTTTCCGAACAGTTCCATCTGAAATTAAAGGGTCACTATATCTCATGGGCTCTCGGTTTTGCATATGATCAATTGACTGGTATAAGGCGAACAAAGAAAATAGACAACAAATAGAATTAATTCTTAATTAATAATTATTATCAGCATGCCCAAATTGTAACTATATTTATTGTATTCTAAATATTGCATTAAACAAAATGTTATTTGAAATTGCAATCAAAACGAATTTGATATGCAAGTTTTGAAATAGACACAACTGTAGTAGAGATTGTCGTTTTATGTTCCGAAATGGAGTTTATATTAGATAGAATGGACTTTTGCATAAATTCATTCGATTCGATTGGGGCGTTTTGACCAAAATTCCCTCCTGTTATCGATTTTGATTCGAGTCGAATGGTCAACACCAATTCTTTCAACCTGATAAAAAGAGAATGTCGATGAGTAAAAATGCTAGGTAAAGTGCAAAGGCTATATTTCAAGATTTCTATAGTTGAAAAGTTCTGAAAAAAAATTATTTGCATGAATGAAATTCAGGTTGTTCATTTCTATGAGATATTTTATTGAAGTAAATTTGAATGTAATGTTTGTTTACATGATAGAATTATTTCTAATTTAATACTAGGAAAAATATACAAATCGATTCAATAAATGGAATGTTTAATTGACTGCACACTTTCGAGGCAAAAATTACCTGAAAACGCGCAAAAATAATTTTGAAATAAAACATTGCCGATTGGAGCAATTCGAAAAAATTTGGAACATAAACAAAAAAAGTGTTCTGTTCAAACAAAGTTAATTTCGTCTCGTTAGGAGAAACAAGATTTCAAATCGAGGATCTTTTTTAAAATATGAAATAAATCTAAAAAATGGCGTTTGTTTGCAGTACATTTCCTCGACTAGAATTTGATAATCTCCTTTCAATCACTTTGAAAACTTACGCAACACCTCCGTGCTCATAGAATAACCTAAATAAAATGTGCATCAAATTCAAATAAAAAGAACACATTCAGCTACTTGCATTCAACTACAGCCGAATGAGCTAATTGAATACAAGTACCAGAAGAACGAATAAAAAAATTACAAAATAACTTGATCAAATCCTTAAATCGTGTAGAAAATTAAAATTATTCCGATCGATTGATGTCACCTACAATATATATTTATAACTAACTATCGGGAGAAATAAAATAGCTTGTAAATTGTGTAAAACTAATAAAATATTGCATGAATTCTTTTCTTTTCGATTAAGTCCAAGCATTTTTTGTACTGACATTTTCGAATCGAGTGCTAAATGAAAGTAGATACTGAAGTGGTTCCTGCAATTAAATTCCTTTCCTTTGAATTATTTCTATTAAATTTTAATATGCTTGTGTTGACTGACGGTTGGCGGTGGCCATTATTCATCTGCGTGCCATTCATAAATTCTACTTTTTTTGCATAAATATTTTAATAAAAAGATTGCTATTTTAAGCTTCTAACAGTGAGTCGTAGTTTGTATGATATGGAAAAAATGCGAAATACATGAGTTTGTTCGTTAAATTCTAAAAATCTCATTAAATATGGAATGTCTGAATGTTCATTGAATTCCAAATACTTTAGGTTATATCTTTCTTCAAAATCTGTCTTTTCTCTAGTTACGTATATATCTCATTCGATTTTAAATAGGATTTTCTTTTGTCATAAATAAGTGTTTTTCGTATCAAGCGAGATTGCTTGGAAATATATTTGAAATTCTAAGATTTTTTTTCTCAAATTTCAAATGGAAAAATAAATGCTATTAAGTTATATTATTATTCAATTAAATTGGTTCTTTGCGATATGATGTGGTCAAGTGTTGATGATGTGTATTCATGTGTGTATTGTGTACGTGTGTATGATATGTGTTGTATATTTGATGAGATGTTTGATTAGAGTTAATTGTGTGATTTATTTTGTTTTAGGTAAGAATTTCAATTTTACTAATAAGACTTCAAAAATCTAGCGATAGGCCGATGGAAAAATTGTCGAAAAATTGAAATATTTTTTGTTGTTGAAGTAAATGATTGATTGATTTTAAACCCAGACGCCATGTGGGTGTCCATCTAATTGTCTCGGTGAGCCCATTATTCGGCGTGTACTGCCTGGTCGATGTGATCCTGAATTCAAAAAAGAGAGAAACCATTGTTTCAAATACATTCGAGTGCATATAATTTTCATTTTTCACATACCCTCCAGTAAATTGCGAATCTCCTCGGTAGATGCAACAGTTAAACTTTGCAAATTCACCTCTTTCATTTCGTTGATCAATTTTTCCAAAAAACTTTTTTTCTCAGCAATTGCTGTTTCAATTACAGTTACCTCATTTTTGAGACTATCACTTATTTTGCTGGTTGAATCTGCACTTCGTGCGGCTATGTCGATCTCGTTTTGAATACGTTCCACCTCGTGCAACAAATTGATTTCGAATTGTTGCCGCTGACCTTCGTACTTGAGCGACGATTGTTCAATTTGAATGTCATCCATTAGTAAACGAATCTTATTCTTGCACTGTAACAATTCCGTTTCACAATTGGCCAATTTCGATCTCAACAATGTTATCTCGGATTTTAAAGTTTTTTCCTGTTGCCGAACCAGTTTGTTTTCCTCTTCGACATATTGAAGTGTTTGCAATTGTTCGCTGCTCTGACGAAATAGTTGATCCGTTTTGGTGATCTCACGCGTAATGGCATCTAATTGCTGTATTTGGTCTCGCTCTTTGTTCTCTAAATAGATAATCTCTGCATCGTACTGTTGCAAGAGAAGAAAATATTTTTAAACATTGATAATAACGAATTGATAAGTCATTTAAGTCACCTTTGAAATATCGGTTTGTTGATTGCTGATTTTCTCCCGTTGCAAATGAATCAATTGCAATAATTCTCTGTACTGTGCATTCTGGAATTGATTATCATTCAAAAGATCTTTATCACTTGTCGCACTATTCACAATCGCCTGTAAATTGCTCAACGCATTTATATGAATATTTGGCGATGATTGACGATTTGATACAAATTGTTGGGCATTCAATGTGGCCGTGGGTGATGGTGATTGTTCTTTCATAAAATGAGATGCTTTATTGCTTGTAAAATCAATTAATTTGCCGCTGTTATTAGTTGTATTACTGCTTTGACTGTCTGTTTTTTGATGATGTATCAATAGATTGTTGTACTGATGCAACAGCGGTGAGTTGGTTTTTGGTGACGGTGGATTTCGATATGGCGGTGGTGCTAATGCTCCGGTGGTGCTAATCTGTGGACCATTTTTATACGACTCAGTTGTACTATCCAAATTTTCACTCATGCTACTGGTGGTACTTATATTGGTACTGTTATTGTTATTATTTCGATGGGAATGTTGAGTACGGTCATCATTTAAATTAACCATTTCACGGAATGCGCTCGTTTTTCGGTCCAATGAATTGCGCACATCGGCCGAATTAAATTGTAAAATTGGTGATTTTACCAGATTTTGCAATGGTTTCGACGCATAGTCAATGTCAGCGAAATCACTGGTCGTTGTAATCGATGTTCCGGTTGTGGACGAACATGGCGAGAGTGGTGGCGATATTTTAGTCAAATTTTGCATCGTTGTATGTGGTACTCCTGTGAACAGAATGAAAAATTTTGCTTAGTTTGTTAATATTGTTTTTGCATTTTTGTGAAAATCACCTTTAACAATTCCAATCAAATCAGTTCTGCGATGCTCGTTCGTTGTAATACTTTCGGGTGTTAAGCTTTGAACGGTATTTGGTTCGTCCAATGGCAATGATGACAGTTGATCGGTGTTTATGGGTTGATCGAATGTTGATTTTGCTTTCTTCGGTGATTCGGTTGCTTGTGGCGATGAGGCTGGATTTTTTGCCGCCTGATCTGGACTATTCCCGTTTTTCGGCTGATCTGAACGCTGCAATATGAATTGCACATCACTCGAATATTCACCCCATTTCATCAATATCTAAAGAATGAAAAACGAAATTCCGTTAGCCGATAGTATCACCATGAATATACATTATTCACGATTCAAGCTTACCTTCAATGGATTTTCGTGTGGTGCCAAATTTCGTTCATTGTTCCGCCATCGTTCGATCAATGTAAATCGTCCAATTTTACCGGTTGCATGAGCCAATGCAAACACAACATCCTAAACGAAACAATTAACCCAGGGTCAGACATATTAACACATCATTTACAAATTAAGGCTATACTTTATTTTTTCCCTCATTAAAAATATACAACGTCAATTATCTGCATGAAAAATGTGAAATGATTGCTAAAAGCATTGTGAATGTGAATTGATTACAAAGTATTTTATTCTGTATAATTTTGTTTGATAATCTCTTCATTTTTACGAAAACAAAAAATGTCGTTTTTTTCCCATTCACCAGATAAAAATTTACGTATTAATCGATTCAATCAAATCGCTAAAAAGTCTCCTTTCTTTTTTTTGCAGGTTATCTAGTTTTGGTTCATTCAACCGTTTGTTTCATTCATTGAATAAATCACACCGAATGAGATGCTTGAAAAAGTCCAATTTTGGAAATGGTGTTTGGTATTTACAAAGTCAAGTTAATTCATAAACAAAAGACCAAATAAAGGATTGAATAACTTACTTGACATGTTGTAGTTTCCGTAACGCCACAAACAATTCGCTGTATGCCCTCGACCCAGACTTTCAATTCCATTACACACTTTTATCTCGTTCGACTTGCTTAAATTCGTTTTTTTTTTTAACTTCAATTTCGGATAGTTGGATACTCCACACTGACTATAGTCCACCGAATCTGTGCCGAATTGTACTACGAAGTGTGTATTACTGATTGGTTTTTGATGCCAATCATGAATTCAAGAGAATTCAAAAGAAATAATAATTTCTGTTCGCTTTGTTGTCGATTTTTGCGTGTTTTTTTCGGTGTAGTTGTATAAGATGTGTATATGTGTGTGTAAGTGTAATTTTCAATAGCAATCACATCTTTGTGATTTATTTGTGATCGTTAGTGGCAAATATCATAAATAACGTGCACAGCCAGAGATCTTGCGACTGCACTCTGAAACACGAAATGATGGAGAAAAGCAAATTAAAAATAAAATGAGAAACAAAAAAAAAAATACGTAGAAAAAAAGGAAGTATATAAAAAACGCGCACACACACAACAAATAACATCGTCACATTAGTCATAATCATATCGTAATGATCGTGACCAATGCGAAAAATGCCGGCGCGCACAAATAACATTAGGATTTAAAAAAAAATAACATTTTATGCATTCAACCAGAAATGCATTATTTTCTCTCTCTTGCGCGTAGAGAACATAAACAATCAAATAAATACACTTGCTTCGTCAAACAACACACATTAGCTCGTCTTTTATTTCAGAGTTGAACACAATTCAATGCACAGTAATAATCGGCGGCAATCTTTTCTTTCAACACGTTTTGGTTAAACAACTTCGTTTGACTGAAAGGAAATCGAAATTAACAGTCGTCATTCGTTTATTTCTCACTCTCTCACATAATAAGTTGCCAGTTAACGATGACGACGACGATGACAACATTCACTTCACATTAAAAACAATAAAATCGCACAAACTAATGATGGTTAACGCAATGCAACACGATAGAAGAAAACGAAAAAGAGAAGAAGAAAATCATTTTCTAACGCGCTTTGGAATGGTAACAATTGATTTAATTTCGTTTTTGATATGGAGTTGATATTGTGAAAAGCGACCGCAACAAATCCAAATACATCAATTGAATGAATCAGCGTCGACGATTACCTTTTACAGCTACTGGTTAAATTGAAATTTATTCATGAGTTTTGTTTCATTTTAATGAATTTAATCGTTCATATCTCTTGAACGGTTCGATTACGCTGTTTTATTTGTCTTTCTTTTGTTTTATTCTAAGGCAGTGCGTTGCGCGGGCTTGGTACACACATTGTCACAAACCGTATCATTTCGAGAGGCCAATTCATTAAACAAAAACAAAAACAAGAGAGAAAAAAAATGAAATAAAAGGAATGCCACAAAGCATAATATCACAGTGAAACAATGAACAACGGCATAAAACAAACTAATCAAGAATGGAGAATCAAATGAAATTTTAAAAAAAGCAGAAAACAAAGGTAGAGAGCAAACCAATGAAAGTAGCGGTGAAGATAAATGTTCATTTAAAATGCGTATGATTTGAGCGAAAGAGCGGCCGAGAGATGAAAATCCAATACGAAATCAAATGGCTCTCAATGAGTTTTATCACATGTTATGAATATGTATGTGATAAATAAACAACTTTGTCAGCTTGATCCGCTGAAATTAACATCCAGTAGAATGTATGTCACGCAAAACTAGGCGTAAATAATATGAAAGATAGAGAGAGAGAGAATGAAAAAAATCAATGGATAAACGAAATGCGTGACATTCCATAGTCAGCACAATATCATACACAACATGTTGCAATAACGCCAATATATAAACACTTAAAGCATAGAATCACAACTCACATCGAATCAATCACATTCACATACTAAATACACAGCATATATATTCTTGTTATTTTAATTGAGCCAGTTATTGCAACACTCTCTCAATACTGTAAACTCACTTATACACATGAAAAGCGTAATAAATCGTGAAAAAAACAACCGAAAATTGGTATATTGTTTGAACTATGCAACTATCTATGAATAATTGAATACATGATGACACGAAAAATGCACTTGTTTACATGCGCTGAAGATGGCCACTGCAGACACTAGAATTATGATTGTCTGGGGCTCACATTCAAATCTGACTGTCGATTAATTGAAACTCTTTCACGGCGTTGCTCTTTAAACTCTGCATGCCGTAGCACAACAACCGTTTACATATATATTGATTATTACACACAAAACAAACACACATGAAAGTTCATTTGCCCTGACTTCCAACCTGTTTATTTATTTTCAAATACACATCAATTTTTTTACTTCTTCTTCCATATTGCATTTTTATGGTAGACGTTTTAATTTTTTTACTTTTCATTATTGTTGCTGTTTTGTTTATGATTATGCTCTCACGATATATACAAGTCAATAACGCTTTACACTCACACTCTCACTCTCTCTCTGGATGTATTTGGAACTTCTATTGCACACAGTAAACAGATAAAATCAAAACATTCGAGAACTCCACATAACATTTCTATAACACAAAAAAAAAGAGAAATAAACACCAAATCGAATGAAAAACTTTCGCAGTTTTAACAAAATTCACCATATGCCAATTAATTGCACTAACCAAAAGAGAATTTCTTAGAAAATTCTGCGATTAAAAAATTCTTTTTTTTATCTTGTTTCATTTAATTACTTACAGCATTTCGTTGTGTGTATCGCCTTTGCTAAGAGCAGCAATACAATCGCCATTCTGTTGTGGCACTTGACGTTTATTATTCAATCGCTTGCATTGGAATTTGTCTATTATTTACCTGCATGATGTGTATTAATGTCAACACTGAAAAGTTGGTTGCCCTGAATTGATTTTTATAGACAGATTTTTAAGTACCGTCTCCATCGAGAAGCATTTTAACCATCGAGTGCGCACCTACGCCACTTGAGCACACCATTTCAGCTAAAGTTGGAATGTTTCTTGAAAGTGAGAGACTTTCTTCAAGCGCTTCAGTGGAGCCGCCATAATGAAAGTTTTCTTTTAAAATAACAATTTTTTGATTGAAAATTAAACACGCATAATCGATGGATTTTCGGATAATATTTCGATATTTTATTTAATTATCATTTCCTATGCGAAATTTTCTACATGATTCTGACTTTATATTGATTGATTTTGGTATTTGTATTGTACGGTACACTCTCTCATCAAGAGAGTGAATAGAATTGGATAGACAATATAATTTCATTAGGTGTACACATCAATTTTGTTAAACGTTTACATCTGAAGACACAACAAATTGATCATATGCTTTCATTGTTTTGATTAAAAAATGTTTACTTTTGATAGTTTTAGTATGTATGTTTTGATTAATTTGTTCCACAGAAAGACAGTAAGATTAGAGTTTATACAGCTACTGTTTTGGGACGTCTGAATTTTTCGGGCTTTGTTCAAAATGTTTTAACTGAAAAAGGAAAACGAGCAAATGCCATCGATTTGCAACTAAAAACAGCTAGCTACACGTTGGTTTTTATTCGATTTTTTTTGGTTACTTACCTAATGCATCAGTTACGTATGGTTTATTATATGGTTCGTTTCGAACGTTTGATTATTTGGACAATTCTTATGCTATTCTTATACATACTATAATTTATTGTTTCAATATGGTTTCGCATAGGTTCTTAATATTTTCATATATATATATACACATTGGTATTTAATTCGTTGAATATATTGAAAATTATCTAAACTTTGCATTTTTTTATATATAAATTCCCAACAACAAAAGGTCCATATGTAACAAAAATAATTCACTTATATTGATAAAAATGCATTTTTTTTCTCATTATAACAAAGTCAACAAATTTCATTTCGATTATCGTGTAAACGATGTTTTTCGACTCTATTTAAAACAAATATTTGAATAGGCGCCGGGAAGATGCATTCGTTGCAGAATGACATTGTGGTGGAAGCAATTCTAACTAGCGTAATAAACAGAGTGATTCTGCATGAAGGGTAGGAAGGGGGCGATACTTAAGTGATATAATTAAATTGGTTTTGATATCAGTTTGCTTTTACCATTTACAATAGTGGTGCCGAACGATCGTTGGTCTTAGTACTTCTTAGCTTTACCGTGGCAAATTGAGCCGCACTGTTCTTACACCGGCGAAATCCCATCACATCCATAGGCAATGTTTTTTTTTTCGAAAGCACAGAGCCAAAACGAAAGAAAAAGAGAGAGAATAAAATTTGTTTCCAAGTTAGTTCTATCTATTTTCACCGCTACCGGTATAAATGCAAAAGGAATTTTGAAAAAAAAAAAAAAATCGAAACACTGTTAGAATCCCCTGTTTTCTGATGGATGTTACTGTATTAACATAGTTGCGAAATAAAAATTAAAATTTCTAAAATATTTCCAAAAACTGGATATTTTCATGGGAAAAAAACTCATTTCACCCGAAGAGGTTTCAAAAAGTTGAAAGCTTCAATTATACAGCAACAGTAATTAGATAAAAAAAATTATACGTATTCCATCGAAAACAAGGGATCTTAACTACGGAGAAATCTTGCGCCATTTTTCAAGTGCGAAATTTGAGTTGAAAACTTTAAAGATGTAGTTAATGGATGTGTTTAAATTTTGGTCAAATTTCTCATATGTAATATGGTCAAAATTCCACCAGTTGAGTGCTGTTAGCAATAACATCAAAAGTGTTGAGCTTGAAGATTAAACAAATTGGTTAAAATACTTGATTGTGATTAGATCAAATAGTTTAATGATATTAATAAATAGGTTTAAGCACAAAATAAATGCAAACAAAAACAAAACAAATGTGCACATTTTGTGTAATAATTTTATTAACGTAAATCAAAATCAATAAACTAACAATAATAAAAAGAATAAAAAGTGTGTGGACAAAAAAAAGAAGAAAAAACTTATGAAGAAAGAAACAAATGTCTTTACAGAAATAAATGATAATCAATAATTTCTTAAGTGAATGATCGATTTGAGCTGTTGTGCGAGTTTTTTTTTAGTCAGGAATCTATCATTCTCCGGCTAAGCTCATTAGTTTCGATTTATGTTCATTTGTTCAATTTGGCACTTATAATAATTTTGTCGAGCGCACGCTAACGCGTCGCTCTTTTGTAATGTACAAAAAGAGGGGGTAGAAGATTTTTTTTGTTGTTACTTAAATCGTGTAATAATAAGTCGAATGACTAAAATTAAATTACTACTTGCGGCCGACTTCAAACAATTTCTGAATGTATTTTTTTTTTGTTAGGCTTCCATTTTACTATTGTATAAAAGTACATGGCTAATTAAATAAGAACAAAATATTTTCCCGGCATTTGACGAAGTGCTGTTACGATTATTGCATGAGCATTACTTTAATCGCCACACTTTTTTCTCGTTCCATGTGTTTGCATTTTGGTCAACATTGGAAGGCAATTTCACTTTTTGTCCAAAAAAAGAAATAATAGTGGATTGAGAGGTGGTAAAATTTATACAAAATACAAAATTATTTAATAGAAAATCGCCTTATGAATGAAGCTGCAGTCTTCCGGCTTCGATGAAAATCTATGGTTTCCATTTCAAATTGACAATGCGGTAATAATGGCTCTCGTTCACATACACTTCGTATTATTTACAATTTTTATTTCGTGAAAATTCATTTCAATAAAGCTTTTTCAGCCAGGTCAAAAACGTGTCCGTGTGTATTTCTCCCAGTTTTGATCCAAATAATCGTCATCGTTTTTTTTAACGTACATATTTAACAAATATAAAAATCCCATTGCCCTTCCGTATTCCTAATGTAGTACATGCTTAAACTATGCAATTATTTTTTGTGGCCCCCTTACATGGGTCGCACTTTAATCGAAGAATTTTCCATATAGATTCATTGAAAAGAATCGACATCAATGGCGAAAAGCAAAAGAAAAAACCTCAAAGCACAAAAGCTTCTAAAGTTTGAAACATTTATCTGTTTCACGAATAAATTGCGCAATCTGAGAGAGTGAATCGTTCGTAATTCGCATGGTGTAAATGTAAATGATTTTGCATTTCAAAGTTTAAAGCATATAAAATCGACACCGTTTGAAAATAACGCAACGATTGAATGAGTAAAAGTGTTCGTTTGACGTCGCATCAACACGCACTACCGAACACATGTGTTAAACCGTTGAAATGCAATGTACGTGTCTATTAATTCGAAATGTTGGTTCGAGAAGATAAAGTTTTCACTTTAAATTGAAATATTGACGGTGTGCGTTTGTGAATGTGAATAGGCATGAATGTCGATAAAACTAATACTGCCGCGCATCATTGTTGTATGTAGTACGTGTGCACATTAAATGTTCCCCGAACAGAATCAATCCATGAAAACGGATATCGTCATAAACAAGAACCATGTATTTAAGTATTGGTTTTATTAGCTCATTAATTGGCAATACGTGAAATGCGCTCGAAAAAGATGGTTTTATGCATTCATCCATAAATGTGTGAAACGACGCCTTCAAAAAACCAATTTACCATTTTATGCTGCTGCCGCTTCATCTTTTGCAGCAATGTAATATGCTGTTTCACCTATTGATTCCATTTAATAGTGGTTTGTGTGCGTGTCATTTTGAATCTCAATGTAAATATGACTATTTTCCTCTAAAATGTAAAATGTGGTTAATAAAAACTAAAAGTACTAATGAACTAAACTTAGCGCATATAAGTCAATAAAATGTAAATTTGCTGCTAGATAGAATCAAGTCAAACAAACTTTATGCCAAACGAACTGAATTGTCTTGACCCCACAAATCATACCATGGTCCAAACGAAGTTGGTCTTTCATTTTGATAGTCATTATGTTTGCTGTCGGTTTTTCCATTTCCATTTGATGTCGCTTGTCGGCCGGTTCGTCTTTCGCGTCGGTCAATGCTCTTTGATTTCATTATTGCATCGGTGTCGCTGAAGCATCCGTTTGAACGATGAATCGGTGCATTTTTTGCTAATTTGGTTCGTGGCAATAGAGTTCCCGGTCGAGATGTGTTAATTTCTTCCAATTCAATGTTTTGATCGCTTTCACCGCGGAACGTTTTAAATTCCATTTTACCATTATTTGCATTTTTATGTTTATTCTTTTGATTTTCACGACGCACCAAATGATCATCAACAACAATGCAATCATATGGATCCGAGCTTGACGCTGAATTGCGCTCGGTGTCTGTGCCACTAGAATAGTATTGTTTCAAAATCTCTTGACGTTTTACTGTTTTCATGATAACATCTGTGACACTGTCATCATCGAAGAATTGATTTTCCGCCGTGCTGCGGCGCAATGAATTTGTGTTTATGATCAATGGCGCTTCATCAAAATCACGGCTGTAATCATGTTTTTTCGGTTGTTTTTTCAATGTATCCATGTCGCTGGTGTCATAATATTCGATGGTTTTGATTACTTGTTGACTTGATTTACCGTTGGTATTCTTGCTACTCGATTTCGGCCGTGATTGACGTGATTGCTGATGATTTTGTGTTTGTTGCTGCTGCTGCTGCTGTTGTTGTTGTTGTTGTTGGTGTTGTTGTTCTTTTTTCGATTGTTTTTTACTGTACTTATCGTTGTTGTATTTGTCATTTTTCTCATTTTCTCGTTCCATTTCGTATTGATGGACAAGTTTAGCACGTGAAACCATGTTCGGTGGCGGTGAACGCGCTTGAATGCGATCATTTCGAGCGTAAATATTATCCTCATCACGTCTATCATCGCGTTGTTGCATTGCAACGCGCCCATCAATCTTACTTTTTGTTATTGGATAAATGATCGGTTCGTCAATGCTTGAAAAATCGTTGTGCACACTATTTTGGCCATTCACCAATGTTTCCGAACTGTTTGTGCTAATAATCGTTTGATTTTCCAAGCTACGGTGACGCAATCGTTTTAACGTGGCAGCTGCCTCACGTTCACGTTCCATCGTTTTTTCATGATCAGTTTGAACTAAATCTTTATGCTGCCACAATGCCATACCTTCGAGAATTTCATCATCTGATTTACCAAATTTCCAAAATGACTTTGTTCGTTTAACCAGATGACCGTTGCGCTGATCAATTGTGCGATAAAGTAAATCCATTGATTGTTCGTCGGTTAGATTGCCAAAACTGGTTGATTGACGAATATTATGGCGTGATTGTGGTGATGTGTTTTTGTTTTTTATCGATTTCATTGTGCTTGTTTGAGTTTCGCCACCAGAACGCCGGGGTATACGCGACTTTTTCAATGTGCTACTTTCATGATTTGATCTTTTTTTCGTTTTTGAATTGATTTTTTTTTTTCGTTCGTGAGTTTAATGGAAATTAATGATGATAAACCGAAAAATAAACACAGAAAAAAAGAAGAAAAAAAAAAACACACAAAAATCAAGAAACAAATTAGGAAAAATACAAAACAAAACATAAAACAGCAAATATACATTTAGGAATGAAAATGGATTGGATTTAGTGACGGGCAATTAGTTATAAGGTGTGTGGTATTGTATTTGCTTTTAATTAGCTCTTTAGTTTTTGTTTTATTGCGTGCAAAAAATACAGAGAAGAGCATTGAATTTACCGTATTGGAACTCGATTGATGTTCTCTTCGTCCGAGTAATCGATTTGTGGATCGAGTGGCGGTGGATCATTGGCAAAACCGCTATCGTTGGAGCTGTGCAACGATGCGCTTGTCACACCGCTTCGTGGTTTCGGTTTCATACCAGATGCCTACCAAAAAAAAGCACAACCATAAATAAAAACGTTCGTTTTTTTGTGTCTCTCCATTTGGGTTTGTGATTGACAAAAAAGGTGTTTCAAATTGCATTTGAAATAGTTGTCTCCTACCTGTTTGGTGTAGTTCAATGTGGATGGCATCGATTTGCGGTTTTCGATGATTGGCGGCCCACCATTCGACGAAAAGCTATGCGATTGTGAAATTTGATTGTGATTTTTCGATGATGTACCATGTGGAATGGGTGCTGGTAATGTGGGTGGTGGACCCGGTTTTGGCATTCCATTCATTGCACCATTTGTATTGTTACCGGATACACGACGATATTGCTTCGATTGACGATACATAATTGTGTCGCCAAACATCCGTGTGGGTGAATGTTCATCTTGATATGATGCCAATTTGGACGAAATTGCAGTTTCATCTTCGTCTTCTTCAATCAATGTACTATCAAGTGATGAATCCGGCGTATGATCACGTGGATGATGTGCATTTTGATGACCGACCATTTGTTGTTGCATTTGTCCATTTGAATGATGGCCATTCTGTGCCGAACTCCAATGATCTTCGAATTCATTTTCAGTGTATGCAACTGGGAACCAGCCAAAAAGTGTCGTTCGTAAATTTTCACCGAATTGCCAACCTTTGGCACGTTCACCCACCAATGCAATTCGATCATTTTCATGGAAAGTTAATTGATTCTCTCCCGATGCCAAATACGAGTACAATGCACGAACTACCGGACGTGAATCATTCTTGGGAGTTGCTGTTGTATGTAAAAAAACGTGGAATTATTCCGAAATTTACAACAATTTTCATTGCTTTACATCGATAAAGTTAAAGACATAAAAAATATTCCGAAAAAAGAGCGAACATGAAATGCATCGGGTAAAACTTACGTTCAATCGTTGCTGTTGTCGTTAAATTGAATTCAGATTTAGCGCGTGGCATATTCATCGTTGTACTGTTAACAACTTCTCCCAACGAACGCATATCCAAACAAGATGCATCAATGCTCTTCGTTTTGCGTATGGCCGAGATTATGGAACCACGATCAGATTCATCGTCAATATATTGATCCTATATCATGAAATTTTATTACATGTTAAGTCATAACTTTCCAATCGAAATGTGCGTATTTGTTTTATTGATTTTATTTAATGGGTTTCCATCGGTGCAGACACTTGCCTTGATATTCTTGGCGAACATGTTTTCAACGTTTGGTGGCAAAAATTCTCTCGATGCAGATACTTCATCCCAGCTATCCAAATGACTTGAAATGCAATTCTTTCCCGATGTATGATAAGCGATCCAGTGTTTAGCCAACGAACATTGACGTTCCAAAACAAATCCATAGCGACGACGCTCTTGTGTCATGGCCTAAACATATAATAACAGGTTGTTAAAATAGAGAAAAAAAGAGAATAGAAAAGATATTGATGACACTCATTTATATTATGACAGCATTTTAAGACGACCATAAAGCTAAAATCTCTAAAAACGAAGTGGTGCTTCTTACATTAGAAACTTGTTTTGATTTTACATCAGCCGACATAAGATCGTTAGATTCACGTAAAAAAGTGACATTTTAAAATTCAAATGCTCTGATAATATGTAAGAGTTCTTTGTGTAGCATTTATCGTGTCTATGTAGAAATAGAAAACAGCAGGCGTGTAATATGAAGAAGGTTCAACGACTTTCTACATATTAACAAGTTCTTTGCTCATATTTCAAATCGAGTTTGGGATTTTACAACACACATTTTCTCAAAACGATTTTCAAATCGTTGTCATTTTTCATGCAGCCATATCACTTTTATCAACTAGCACACAAATAACATGTTTCCCTTTGTTGAATTGCTATGCAGATGATGCTAATTTTAAAGTGAGGACAAAAAATCGATTGAAACCAGATTTTCAATTTATTCTCATTAGACAGATGGTGAGAGAGGGCACTTGGAATGGATCTCTTTCGCTTTTCCCTTTTTCGGTTGATTATTTAATAAGTTTTGTTTTGCCAAGTAGGCGCGGTTACTTCAAGCCTTTTCTTAAGTTGATTTGGCTCTTTTTCAGTAATAAAAATGCTAATTTATCTCAATTTTAAGGGAAATTTCTTGACTTCGTCTTGTGTGTTTATTATTTTTTGTGAGCTCGGAGTAAATTGAAAAAAATTAACAAAGATGCAAAAAACATATATCCTTTCATATATTCAAAATTATTAAATTAACCGAACCGAAATTCAGTGTTATTTGCCAAACAAAATACAGGGTTCCGTTTATGTTTCTGACCTGCTTTTGAAAAAGACGCTTGTTTTTTTTTCGAATACACTCAAATGAAAATGTAAAAAAGTGGTACGGCTTTTTTTCTGTCTCATAATCCCCTAGCGAGTCGATGAAAAATTGTCTGTCTCTCGACCGAAAAACATAAAGCACCTCATCCATTTTACTCGTGTCCTGCGTAACAGCATAATTTTTGATGTGCGAAAATAAAATCGCAATGTTTCACAATGTCTTCACGGTTTTCAACACATTTAATATTTATTAAGCAATTTAACGGCACCGATTCAGGCACATTTGAAATTTGAAAATGTGAAGGGAAAAAAATGCTTAAGCGGAATCAAACGACCACCTTGTGGTTTTACTTAATTTCATCTAAAAAGATTTAGTTTCGAAGAAAATTGTCTCAGGTCCTATGTGAATGGAATGTAGTCGTTGGATCGTTGAATATGACTGAATGTCGTAGTGAAAAATGGCAAAGCAAAAGATAAATAATAAAATTCGAGCACATTTATTTTCGGTTCAAACTCATTTAAATGTCTGCTTCAATTCCTCTTCGCACTAAATGGGTGTACACATGTACAATGTGTAACAGATGATATTCGCACTATGCAAGTGCTTATTTGTATGAATGCCACTCATGTGGATGGTTCATCCCTCAATTCAATCGCAGGATGAAAAGCATAACCGAGACGAGATTCACAACGTACAAGGAGGAACGGAACCGAAAAAATATTGTAAAATAAATTAAATTTGACTGCGAAAATTGGCTATATTTTATTCAATACTGGTAATAAAACGATATGTATAACATGGTTATGATGCGTAGACTATATCTATCTATACAAATTGAATGTGTTCTCGTTGTCTTGTGTAACTTGAACAAAAATAATTCGATATAGCCACACATCTTCCTGTTCTCCATCGTTATCATCGCCGACGAACGATGGCGTCGGCAATTCCTTTTTCCATTTTTTTTAAAGCGAAAAGTGTTTTGTGTGCATCGAATAGAAAATGTGTGCTAACACTGTGTTTTTACTTTTTTTTAAAGGAACGATATGGCCATGATAAAAATGTGTTTCGATAGTCTACGACGAGAAGTGATAGATGATTGAAAAAAATGGGCATTTTCTTGAAAATTTACGATACTCACACGAAGGTATAGTTCTTTTCAACGTAAACAACGATACTTGCATCAAGCTACAATTTATAACATTATATAATATTTTTATTGAGCAGGTAGTTTGACAACGGGACAAAAAATAAAAGCACATAACATGAGCAGATAAAATACACAAAAGAAAAAAGAATATATTTCCAAATAAGTATATTGAAACATTTTTTTCCATCATCACAGTGAAGTATTGTATGGAGTTTGAATCAAATGATATAAATCTATATTCCAGACGATTTTTTTTCGCTTCATTTTCCAAATCGCTACTCTTACGAATGAGCACTTCATGCATGTAGACTTTCATTTTCCGAAAGCATGCATTTTCCATAAAAAAATTATAGATTTTTTGATGCATTATCACTGTCTTCAATATATCTTAACTCGTCGACTACTGTTTTTTTTTGTCTCTCTGTCTGTTTGCCCTATAGTCTACAAAACTTTCTTCCCAGTAGACGTTCTAGCAATTCTTCCTGTTTGAATAACGAAATATTCAAGTACATTGTTATGCAAAAGAAACAGAGTAAGATTCTCGACGACTGGCATACATTGCAAGCGACCAAGTGAAGGCTTACCGACAGAGGGAGAATGAACTTTTCACTTAATCACTTTAAAATTTAAATACGAAAATGACTAGTTTGTGTATGTTTGTGTGAATGTCACCAGAGCGTCGACGAAAAATTGAATGAGAAGGTTGTGTATAAGAGTGCGATAAAGATGATGAAAGATTCGGTGAGTGCATTTGGCAATAAAGCCAGACAAGAGTTTATAACTGGACTAAGGCAAAAGAAAAAAAAAACACGCACGAACAAACAACTTGTTGCAATGATATACCTATGAAGTTAACAAAGTTTCAACTTGCCAACCAAAAACAGACAAAGTACACAATTGTGAAAAATCGAAACGAAATATACTTACATTTTTAAGACTTTGTTCACAGAATGCATCCAATTTGTTCTTCTCTTCGTCCACTGCTTGAATCGACTAGTGGTCCGATGACAAAATACACAGAACGATGATGGCACGAGCACAAAAACACGGTTGGCACAATGAAAATACAGATGAAATAAGGATACAAATAGTTTGAATTATTATTTAAATAATTTAGATGGGATTTTTTCTGACTTCTCAGGAAAAAAAAACATTCGTTACAAACACAGTTTTGGTTGACGTACATCGGAGAGTTACAAATATACAGAGAGTTAGAGAAAAAGTGTAATTCTCGAAATTGTAGCAAATAAACTCTAGCTTAATTTACTCTTTTTTCTCTTTCTCTCTCTCTCTTCATCACTTCACACTAAATGAATCAACTGAAATATCGTGAATATACTTTGAAAATGCTAAAATTTTCGTGCAAAAGTGACACAGTTGAAAGTCGATGTCGTCAACCAAAGTACTTGTACACCGTGTTCCGTGTGTACATTTTGGCTATTTTTTTTTATTTCATTTTGTCTAACGATGTAAAACTGTATATTTACTTTGATCTCCTTATCAGCATTTTGGGCGTTATTTTTCTTCTTTCGTTGCTTTTTCATGGTAGCCGCTGCTTTGCTGTAACTGTCAGCTCGTATTTTATGTTGTTGCAAAAATTTCCTTTGCTCAAACTGGATGTGGCACATTGTAGTTGCCCGAGTTGTCGTTGTTGTCGTCGGATGAAACGGATTTGCCAGATAGAAAAACATACATCCACACACAAAGTAAGTTTTGTGTTTTGCCAGAGACCGATGCAATTTATAAGCAGCAGTAGCAGCAGCAGCGGTGAAAGGAAACGGTAGCAGTAACAGCAGTAGCACAAAGTGTTTGATGTTGTAATGGTCGGATGGTTTTGATTAAGCGATGTGGGGTCACATGAATAAATGCATGCAGAATAGTCGAACGACGAAAAGATTTTGGGAAAACAAAGTTGGAGTGCAAGGGAGAGAAATAGGAAGAGAGAATATAATTCAATTAGTTTTTTCTTCTTCTCGTGTGTTGGCAAAAGCACAAGTGAGGAAACCGGACAAGATTAAGTACAATTGTTTAAAATTAATTTGGAGTAATTTGTTTGTCAGGATGTGATAATAAAGAGAGTCAAGTCAAACGAGAAATAAATATCACATTTTACCTGTACAACTTTAGTGTCTCGTTCGAGATTTGTTTCCAACGGCACCAATAAATCCACATAGAAAGCTTTCAACTGCAAATATCACAACGAACATGGTCCAATTCATAATTGTTTATATATATTATTTTTTTTTTGTTCAAGTTTCATAATACTTACAATGTTCATGTGCTGATCTTGGATTTCTTTATAAACACCAACGATGCTCATGAGCGCTGAACCTGTTTAAATAGCAAGAGAGTGAATACAATTTTGGTGAAAACTTCATTATCGCATGAAACCATTATTTCAGATTAAAATATTTTTTCCTTTCAATTTTTTTACACGTAAATATTTGGTTAAGCTGGATAATTGAATGTACATACAGTACGTACATACATGATAATAAAATGAAATTGAAAATGAATGGTTTTTTTTGAAGGCCAATGCAAATAGTAAACAACAGTATTAATTTATAACTTATGTTGATGGCATTTCGAACAAACGACAAGACCAGTAGCAATTATGGCAGAAAACCACTGATAAAATATGTAATACACGTGCCTTGACGCAGATTAAAATGTTTTGGCGAACACTTTTCAATTATCATTTCATTCGTGCAATTTTAATGCAATGCAAATGGTCCGTTTTTTTGAGTGACAAGGACCACATTAATAACAACAACAACAACAAATGTCGATTGCATAATTTAAATGCAATTACATTGACAATCAATCGAATTTGAATAAATTGTCTGTCTCTCTGCACGCGGCCTTTCTTTTAAAAAATGTGCAGAGTTTATGTTTGATGCGTTTCGCGTTTTGACCGCATTGCATATGTTTTCTTCTATTGACATTTTTTGTTTGTTCTCGGGTGCTGCTGTTTCGAATTCAGGGGGTAGATACTAAATTCAAGATTTAAAGCGATTCGATTAAATTCATAATGTTTATGATTTGGTGAGATGCAAAAAACGTCATGAAAGCACTTAAAATTCTTCGATGCTTCAAAGTTGGGAAATCATAAAGATTTTCGGGGTTTTGATAGTATTTGCAAAGGTTTTTTAAATGTAGGACCAACTAAAAAAATTCGAGCTTCGTTCATTTTGACTTCTACCCCTTCGCATTCAACCATTTTCCAATTTATGCGCCAATCGGTATATTTGGCCATAGAACGACAAAACTCTGGTCTAATTTTGCTAGTGAAAGAAAAAAACTAGCGAAAAGAGAGAGAGATATAGCCTCCGCCACAGCAACAGCAGCATATAGATCAGTTTAATTTATTATTGGATTTACATCGGCTACCAAAAATGCCGATGCCTGACTGCAATGACTTAATAATGAATCACGAATTGGCCTCCCAGTGTGTTGTAGATTCGTTTTACATTTTGTATATATTTGACCCGTCGAGCCATTTGATCTCCATAAATCCATGTTCGATAGGCAAACAAACATTTTACATGTCATGTTCCAATCGCTATCACACAATGTTCAGTTGCGAAATGCACAAAATAAATTTTATCGCCAATGACTACCTTTTGAACATGGACATTCCGTCCGATTTATTCCAAGCGAGATGCAAAAAATGTTGACACACTTCAAACTTCTAAGTAAATATAAATTGTCTGTGCGAAAAAGACTTTTGCTTTAGTTTTAACTTTGTTTGTGTATTCCAGAGTTTATTGGAAGGTAGCAGGGCCGTCGGAATTCGTTTCTCTTCGGGTATTTTTTCGAAAGCCATAATTTGAAATATTTGTACAATAGATTTTTACTTCAAAAACTCAAAATATGGATGCCGACACACATTATAGAATTACCGTTACTTTAATTCGAAAATTATATGTGTTGTGTGGCTGCATCCATAATTTGACTTTTAAAAGTGAAAATCCACTTGAAATGTCATTATTATGGCATTGGACAAAAAAAAAAAAAACAATAGATAAAATGAAATTCGACAGCCCTAGAAATTCTAGTAGAAGATAGTTTCAAATGGTTTTTTTTATCCGACGTAAAATACGGAGAAATTGGACCGATGCGTTATAATCAAATAAACCAATGTCGCTCATAAACCAACAAATTTCTCCCTTCTGTATTTATATTTATTTAAAAGTCATTAAAGTAAAGCATGGCATGGTAACGTTGTTGTATTTAGTTTGAAATTAAATTTGAATTGGTACTGGATATGCATTTATTAAATGTGCAATGCAAGATTAAAAAGAGACCAAACGTATAACTCACCGATATCAGTTGTTCCACCTTGTTGAGCATTCATTGCGATTTTGGCCAGTGCCTCGTTGAAAACACGGCTCGCTGCGGCAGCGCCTATGAAAAAGGTAATTTAAATTTTATTATTATTGTAATGAAATTGAATGATGCAAACGCACAGTGAAAACAACGAAAACTGTTTTAAATCACTTTGTTTGTATCGGACGAATGGTGTATGGCAAAGCAATTTAAATATTGAATTTAACTGTGCTTTTGAAGAGTCGTGCTCGTGTCACCATAAACTAAAAGGGTATTCGGTTTATTGCAATCAAAAGAACCGATTTACTGAAAAGTTTAACGAGAATTGTGTGTGTGTATGTGCTTCACGTTTGTCATTAAAAGTCGTTTCGAATCAGAAAATGAGAATTTCGAATGGCTCAAATTCGAAACTTAAAATTAGTTCAATAAAACAAAAATTGATTCGTTTGCAGAGCGATTGAATTTTCACGTTATTGAAAACTACTTTGAATCTAGGTTCAATTTCAATTCGAAAATGACGTGAGCATTTTAATTGAAAAATCTAAAATGAGCGAAGAACAAATAGTAAACTTACCGTGTAATGCCTTGAGATACGCTTTGCCGGCACTAATTAGTTGTCGAGCGCCTGGATTGAACTTCTCCAAAATGTTCTGAAATTAAATCAGGATAGAGAAAACAAAGAATGCACATTTAATTTTTTTTTAAATAAAAAGGAAAAATAACACAAGATGTGATATACGAATGGGAAAAAGTAAATTGACACGATAAAATAAACTCGAATTAAAAGACAGGAATTTCGCAATTGGACACCAAAACAACAAAATTAGAAGCAACGCTTGAGAATACGAGATTTTGTTAGGGACGAATGAAATGGGCAAACTTGGGAATGAATGAAGATTCAAACATAGATAAGCATCACATCCGTAGAAGTAGCACTGAAGTTATTCAGTGACAGAATGAGAGACGTTGAAGTAAACAATTAAATACGCGTTTAATTGAATTTTTTCCCCAAACATAAACTCAACTAATGAAGAGCTGCTGTTCAAACCCATTTCTAGGTTCACACGGACATAAAATAGACGCTAGAAAATGCGGTACACACAGCACACAATGACAGTAGAATAATATGGTGAAATCGGTGTGTGTGTGTATTTGGCCGTCGGTAAACAACGAGTTCGAGGCACGAAAATCGACTTGAATAATACAATTGAATTCTCAGTGCTAAATGAGAAATTTTCTTCTTCATCGTCGACCACATTTCTTTTCACTTCATTCATGCACCGAGCCGATGTGTGTAATTGTGTAATGGCACAACCAAACTTAAAATTGTCAGACCGTATTGCGCTCGGAATATAGTCAGAGTTTGTGTGTGTGTTTGGATGGAATCGAAACAACAGCATTCCTAAATATTTCCTTTTATGTTCAAAGCTCGTCACTCTCATTTTCTTTTTTGTTGCCGTTGTGTGTAGTTCGTATCAGCCGTTTTGTAAAATAAATATTTGTTCTTTTCCTGCGATTGCAGAATTGCGATCGTAACTTAATTTTCACCAATAGAACGACGGTGTACAGACACACACGAACAATGCAAACCCATGCTGTTCTATGTCTCGATCCTTTTTGTGTGCCGGAATCAAATACATTACCCATTGTTCTCGACACGATACAATGCATCCACCATCACCACCACCAAATCAAGGAAATTGCTGATTTAAAGGCAATAGCAGAAATTTGGTGGCATTTTTTTTTCACTCACGTTCTATTGGCATTGTTTTGATAAAATGTTTCCAACCAATGGCACTTTACTCGCTCAATTTTCCGTGCCAATTGTTTTAAAACGCATTGTCTCCAACCATTTAATCGCTTGCTTCAATCGATATCGCTTTTGCAACTCGTTTGATTTAATAAAAAGTTTAACGTGCACTGTTTTGTTGTACGATGTACATCCAAAGTGCTCCAGGTGTGTGCCTCTCCTCCATTCAAATTTATCGCAACGAATTATTCATAAGAAATAGTCTGTGGGGTCGACAACAACAAAAAAATACCATTTGCATTCGATTATGTAATTAAATATTGGTTCGTTCGAAGCCAAGCAGCAAAAACATGTGCATTCAATTGACTACTCTGAGAAAACTCAGATGTTAAAATTCAAAGTAATAAGAGAAAAATGCCATTTTAACATGGAGAGATTTTTGAACATGGTAAAATCTCATTTTACCCGCAACACATTTCCTTGCGGGTAAAACGGCATTTTAACATGTAAAAAAATCTCTCCATGTTAAAATGACGACAAAATGCCATTTCCTCGCTTACTTTTTGCACATCTTTCTTTCGTCACAAGCAATAAACGAAAGAAAGAGATTTCACGCTGAAGACAAATGTTGTAAAAAAATGATGATGTTTATGATTTTTGTGTGTGCAAATATTAAATCGCGTTATGCAGGAAATTTGCTTGGTTTATTTGTTTGTCGTAACGCACCGAAATAAGGAAATGACAAATTAAATGACTTTTTGCGTTTGATATGCACGACACGATAGACATGAATTTAGCGGGGATTTTCGTATATGTGCCGGAATATGGCTGACGATGATGATTTGATTATGTAATTTTTCTTTCTACCTTTTCGTCTCGGATTTTGGCTTACCGATGTGTTTGTCGGTTCATTTTCTGTCGCAGCTTTGATTGCAATTGCACAAATTGGATATTTGATTAGCACCCAATCGTAAGCTAATAAATGAACGAAGCCATTCGATTGACATTCCATTTTTGATGACAAGCAATTTTGTCATTAAAAAGACGATGATTTTGTCATCATTCGGAAATTGGTAGTAAATTGTGATATTTTATAATCGAAGCATTTTGATAAAAAAGCAAACATTTCTTTTTTACATAAATAGTTACAAACAAGTTGGATATTAAAGAAATATATAATCTAGTGACATAGCAAAAAATGAAATTAAAAATGGAAAATGACAAATAAAACAAAATTGTACTGCAAAATGAACGAAAAGAAGAAAATAATAATAAATACCCATCGCAACTTGAGTGCATTCTCATAATTTAACAGTCATGTCCCGCACTAAGATACTAGAGACATAGCATCGGATAAGACGAAGAAGTAGTAACACTTGACTCAGTAATAATAATCAGCAAAGAAGCAGAGAAACAGAGAAAAAAAAAACATTGCAAAAAACTCGACATCAAAAAGAACATGACCAATACTTTTGGGGCTTCGTGTATACTATTGCTGCCTCTTTTTTCTGCAATGCTTTATGTTCACAGTGACATGTTTCTGTGTTGTTTTGCATTTTCATTTAAGTTTATTTGCTGTGATGTCAAAACAGCAAAAGAACATAAAACAACAAATGATACCAATATATCACATATTCTCTCTGCGCAGGTAAATCCAATATGCATGTTTTGACCATTTCGTCGTCGAATGAACGAATGATATTTATTATAAACCATTTTGTATATATGTTAATATCAAAACCACATTCCACTCTAATTGTGAAGAATAGCAAAACACCGACTGACTCGAAGACGAAAACAAAAAGAACTTGACGCAAACTTTATTATTCATAGAGAGAAAGAGACTTTTGTGAAACGTTGACCTGAAGCTCTAGCAAACGACCTGCCATCGATAAGAACTTGTTTTAAAGTTACTTTTTAGTGTGTGTGCTGAATACACATACTGACGCACACAATCACACAGCGAAGGGAGTAGCCAATATCCATGTGCTTTCTTTTCAATACATCGATTCGATTTGAATGCAATGTCGTCTGTTTGAAAGAGACTGAAAGAGCGAGCGAGAGAGACACCCAGCATGAATTATTCAATGGAATCAGCTATTTTTGTCATTTTTTTTCTCCTGAACCATGCATTTTTCTTTGCCTCATTTAAAACCATATTGTATAGAATGGAATTTCAGTCGGCCCAAAAAGCCATTAATTCCAATGCTAGAACCATGTCCATGTTGAAAGCGTGCATTTGCAATCGGAACATTTTAAATTTATGTATTTTATGCAAAGAAATCCAATTTTGCTCACTTCTTCTAAAGATTACGCAATGCATAAAAATGGATTATGATCATCGAATGAACAGAAGCAGAAAATGAATGTAATCTTATTGGAATTTTCTACAAACCAAAAGCAAATACCATTTTTTGTTGAATATGAAAATCAAATTAGACACACTTTAATACCTGTCTGATGATGTTGGATTTGTATGCAACAAGAATATTTATTCGACTGTGAATATTTAATATTTGAAAACAATGACCAGAGGTGACAGAGCATAAATGATGCTATTATTCTATGTTTAGTTCGATCAATAAATCCCATATTACGACCCATGTAACAATGTCAAATGTTAAACGCAATTTAACACGTTTTTTATTTGATAATAAGCGATTTTGAACAATCGAAACCAATAAATTTTTCTCAATCACATTTATCGATTTATTTCGCATGAATGGGTGAGGTGGTGAATCTTTTTCACCTGATTTCAAGGTACAAATCAATGAACACTACTTGGTATTCACTTACTCTTTAGCTCTCAGCGATTTTGCTTATTTAATCCGATTTCATCTTAAAATAGCATTGAAATGTATTTGGTTTTCAACAAATAACGGCATTCATTCCATCAAATCAAACTGTATTCAAATTCAAACAGATAAAATGATTGTTTTCTTGTAATCCGAATGAATGATGCAAAATACGCAAATCTATAAAGTAGGTGGATTGTGTTGATTTTGTATTTAAATCATGTAATTGATAAATGCAAATGCTTTTTACCGGAATGGTGGTGGTTATCGAGTATTTTGAAACAGCTATTAATGTAATTAGAATTAATGCTTTAAATACATCCTCTTAGCGTCAATGATCCCGTGTCTATGTGCAATAGAGTCCATTCACCCATTGCAAAAATTGTTTATTGCATTCCCTTTTCTATGCGATTCCCATTAATACCAATAAATTCAATACAAAGTAATGAACCATGTGTGTGTCTGTGTGTCTGTGTGTTCGTGTATTTTATCTTTAGTATTTGGAATGGAACACATTTTCATTTCAATCTGTGGTAGAGATCGATGTGCAAAAAACCCATCGAATTAATGAACTGGCCAACGGCCATCGAACCAAATGAGAAGCATACTTACAACCGGCGAATCGACAGAGCATTAAAATTGATGTGCGTATCCATACACAGTGGGTGCGTGCGTGTCTATATGTTTATTTGCATTTAGGGCAATTAAAATGGTCATTGTATCGACTTTGAATGAGCGAAAGTCAATGGGTACTGGAATTTTTGCGGTTCTAATGCTGTGCCATGTGCGGCTTGCAGTGATCCGATTGTAATGAAAAAAAGAGCATATGCTGGATGCATTGAGTGTCATGTTGCGTTGGAAACACATGTAAACGCCGACACAATTTACGTGTTTTTATCGATACAGTTGAATGGCATTTATAGTTACAGCTGCTCCTGTTTTAAATTTCATCTTCGACACAAAGTACCATTTCGTTCACTTTTGTACCGTGCCCTGTCTCTGTTTCTCTTCCTCTCGAATATTAACATGGAGATTTTAGTGCAATTGAACATTAACTACAAATCGATATAGTATATGTACCGGTTCACTGGATTCTAATGGATCC